GAAATTTATAGTTGATGTTTGGATAGAAATAGATGTTACCTGTCAATAAGCAAGATGTCAAAAGGTTAACTTGCACCTTTTTATTCTATTCATACCTTAGTTGAAATTGAAGGTGGAATCCACAATTCTATATTTGTTGAATTTGAAAGAAAAAAAAATCATATGTTTTTTTACTTTTAAAAGTTTTTTAATATGCATTTGTTTTATTTATGAAAATTATCAAACATCCTTAATGAGGGGTGATAGAAATTCATAATAAATTACTTATGAATGTGGTAGATGAGCTCCATAAAAGTGACATCTTGTTTCTTCAATGTAGTACGAAGGGATTTTTTAGGGGAAAAAAAAAATTAAAGAAACTAGTAGAAAGGGATTCGATACATTGATTTTCAAAATGATATTTTGTGTACACTTTAATTTCATTTAATATCCACTTCTTCGTATCATTTGTCTATAAATGTCCGGTCAAATTAGTAAAATTTTGTCAAATAAGTATTTCACGTCATTATTTAGTTAATGGGAGAAAATTCTACATAAAATTATAATTCAAATATCGAGAATATTATTCAAAGATCTAAACGTTGTAAATATATGCAATTATCAAAACCTTACAATAATGTGAAGGGACCAATCACCCTAATGCAACAAGAAACCTACCAAGTAAAAGTTGTAATATATATAATTTATTACAAATGTAAGCTACCAATTGATTTTTGATAGATACTAAAAAAAGATTTTTGATAAAAGAGAAAATAATGCACAACATTTTCATACTCCTGGGTTGGGCTTGTTGCCAAGGACATTAGCGTCAGCAATATTGGTTGAGCTGGGCCATGCATTGGGCTGGTCATGGCCCTTTATCATTCAAGTGGGCTGGACCTTCGTTTTTTTCTCCTTTTTTTTTCTTTTCTTTTTGAGGCAAATACAAAATTGGATTGTTTTTTTAATATAATTTAGTCTATAATGTTTAAAAGGTTTGAATTGAATCCTTTATGTATTAATATTTTTTAATTATATCCTTGTCTTCGGTGAATGTTAAAATTTGTTAAAAGATAAACTTACATGCCTACTTAGTGAGCTAATAGAAATTTAAGAGAGGAGTTTATAATTCTTCCTCCAAAATTTACAAAGGTTAGCCAAAATTTTGGTTTTACTTTTGAATTACCATTTGAGTTCGAAATACCTTCTAATTTAATCACTCTAGAAACAAATGTTTATTTTCTCTTCAAACATATTTTTATAAAAAAATTATTTATTAAAATACACAAGTATTTGGTTACATTTTCTTAAAAGTTATTTTGGTCACTAACTTTTTCGATTAAACTATATCTAAAAGTGATTATACAAATGCTAAATCATCGTTAAGTGATTCTTGATCATACAAATCCTAAATTACTTGGGTGAACATTAAGTTTGGAAATCCTCCATCCTTTGAGGTTCTTGACTACAATTTGAATCCATAGTGAAAATTAAATAAATGGCTACAATACTAAATCTAATCTCTTTCATCTTAATTATACAATAATCAATATCTATATCTATATTTATATCTATATCTATATTTATATATCTATAATATATTAAAAGTACAGATGTGGAAGAAACATTTTTTTGACGATTATGTCATTCACTCTCTCGTCTAATATCTAATTTATCATTTCGTTACCAAATATAAAATTAAAATAATTAATCCTAAAATCTCTCGCCTTCCCTTTCAGGTACATTATTTAATTATAATACAGCAATATACCTTTTAATGTTGATCAATTACTCCTTAAATCTCTCACATTCTATTGATGGAGTACATTGGATTTTTTTTAAAACGCTTGAAATTCACACTCATTTGTTTTTAAAACCCAAAAGTCTAAACTCATTTCAAATTAAAATTAAATTGATAAGAAAAGGCAATCAATAAACCTTTTTAGTTCCAATTTCATGTAAAATATAATTACTCCTAAAAAAAACTTTTTGCATTCCTACGACACAAGGAGCATAATAGCAATTCAGTTTTTATATATTTCTCAAGCTTCTCATGTGATCATCATCGGTCATTCTCACTCTCTCTGGTAAAGACTACGCCGATCGGCTTCTTTCACTGTCATCACTCTCCGTCCTAGATTTGAACCTGAAAAAGGTAATGTTCTTCTTCTCTTCTAACTATTACGAAATTTGACAATAAACAATATTTTGTCTGTGATTCATAATGGAGAGATGAAAGACTTAGAGAACCGTCATCTCTCTTTGTAATGTGATTCAAAATTTTGTCGGTATCTTCAGGTGGGGAAACTGGTTGTCCTCATTCCTTGCTTCATAAATTGTAATTACTATAATCATTGGTATCTATTTTGATCAATCAACACTCTGAATTTTCCTCTTCCTCCCCTAATTATTTGAATTATTCTCAATGTTGTTTAGATGTTCTTAATTATTATTTTTAAATATAAAATTAAAATTATTTTATTGTTTATATAATTAGTTTTATTTTTTATACCATTATTATTATTATTATTATTATTATTATTATTATTTTGGTGTATAAATATAAAATTCAAATTATATCCATTACTAATTTTTAGAATCTAACCCTTTTTTACTTGACCATTAAAACGTTCTTAATTATTTTTCTAATAACTTAAAAATGTTATTATTGTGTTTCTAGCCATAAAATATAATAGTCAAATTAACTACTAATTTTTAGTTTGATTTGAAATAATGTAATGTTAATTATTAGGTACGTTAGGTTAGTTCAATTTTGAATTTGAATATTTGTCTGTCTAATCTTTAATTTGAATTGAATAAAGTTCTTTTGTTTGTTTAAGAAAAAAAAATTGAATTGTGTTTGTTTAATTTTGAAGGTTCATCTTTCCAGGTTTTTTATTGTATATGCTAAAATAAAAAACATTATATAATTATATCTGATATTTTTGGTTATTTTTTAAAATGCGCTTTTTGTTTTTTTGTTTTCTTCCTTTTTCTTCTGTTACCACAATTTTTCTCTCTCAACTATCTTCCACCTCTTTCTCTTATTTTCTTCTTTAATTTCTAAATATAAATAATCCCTTATTTCTTATATACATTAAACAAAAAATGTGTCTTGAGGTGAAAAAAAAAAGAAAAAAAAATTCATAGTAACTATTGTTCAGGCCATCTAAAACATTAAAGAGAGGTATCTTTTTTCTATTATTCTTAACATGGTTTTATAATTAATCTTAAAATTATTATATTATTTTGAAATTTTACGTACGCTTTTAAATTTTTAAATTTTATTTTTAATTAATTAAATTATCTTATCACGTTTACAAAGGCTTAAAGTTTAATAAAATGTTGATATTTTATTTCAAATTAAAAATACGTAAATTAATTTTTATTTTTAAAGTAGATCAAATTAATTAATAATTGTCCTAATTATAATGGATAATAAACAAAACTTTGTCATCTCCTCTTATATATAGAAATGATTAAAAATATATATTTTGTAATTAATTTTGTTGTTATTTTTGTTCTAAAAATATATATGTATGGTTAGAATTCATTAAGTTAATTCTTAAAAAAAATTAATTATTCAATATAAATTGATAAGTTTCCATTAAATTTAATATATAAGTAAATAAATTGGAAATATCACGTGCGTGACACGAAGACTGGTTATAACAAATGTATAATATTTGTGAAATAATAACGAGTCATATGAGCATGACTTTCATATTCATAAACAACCAAGCTTAAGACATCTTTCCACCACACAGAAAGGAAGCAAAACTCCATGCAAATCATATAGCGAAATGTGCCATATAAATGTGGACATCGTAAAATTAGATGCGTGAAGATCCCTGGATTCATTGACTTAATTGATAATTCCTCCTTTTCATTGTATGAGGTTAAAAAAAAGAACATAACTCATCAGTCAATTACATCTACTCTTTCTCTTTTATGTATGTGGTATAAAAGAATTACAGAATTCCAAAAGTTTCATTCCTCATCTTATATTAATCATAATTTATATGGATAATCGAATAATGCAACTTATTAACAACGTATATCTTGATGAAGTCAAAAAAAAAAAACATATATCTTGATATTGTAAATCGTTCTCAATTCTTTGGCTTTCAAAATTTCCTATGAAATTTCTCAATAAATGTAAAAAATAAAAAGAAAAACAATGTATCCATAATGATATATAAACTACCATTCGAAGGAATAAATATAGTTGTTTAATCATGGTAAAGACGAGACAATTAGTTGTCAAATTGTATTACACTAAAATAACATAATTGGTATTAGAAAAAAATAATAACATAATTGGTGTTTGCATAAATTATAATTTTTTTAATGTAGCCTATAATATCTTTTTAAAAATATATATATAACAGTTTCAAATTCTCCTGAAAAAAAAAGTTATAATACTATTTGTGTCATATACTCCCACTTTTGTTGATTTTATACATATCTATTGTGAAGCCAACTCATGTGTTAATTACGTTTTTGCATTTAGGTTCCTCATTTCCCTTGGGTCTTTAAGTTTATGATGTCGTTCTTTTCAATTTCTATCATTTGCTCGTCTTCGTTTTTCTTTTAGTTCTTAAGCTTTTGTCATCTCCCTTTTTGAAAAAAAAAATTGTTATATATTAAAATGTTGAGATTAAATTAGTATCAATATTTTATTTTATAACAATTTAACTCCTAAATTATTAACAATTTAAAAATATAAATAATTAAATGGTTACAAAATAAAGTTAGAGAATAAATGAGTGTTCCTTAACCTACAAATATTAATTATAGCTTTAGTTTTAATGTCTTTCCTCATATTTATCACATGATATCCTAAAAATAACAAAATAGAAAATGAAATTACCCAATAAGTTCCAACTCCCAAGTCTAAATTAAATTCGTGTTTTGAATCGTGCCTAATTCTACGGCACGTGACTCCGAAGTCCGAATCGTGGAAAAACCGAACCGCTCAAAAAATCAATTATTAGAGCTTTAAATACAATAACCAAACTCAGAGTGGAAACGAAACCCTACTCTCTGCATCTTCCCGCCCGCGATTTTCCTCCGTCTCAAACTTCTTCCAATCATGGACACCTCTTCTCTCGATCAAGAAACCGCGAAGAAAGTGCTTCGTCAGGTCAAATGTGTTCAAAATTCCTCCTTCTTCCTAGTTCTATGTGCTTTTGTACTTTTTTTATTTATTTTTTTTTTAACATTCATCGGTTCGATGTTTCTTCTGCAGGTCGAGTTCTATTTCAGCGACAGTAATCTTCCGAGAGACGGTTTTCTTAAAACTACTGTCAATGAAAGCCCTGATGGAAGTATCCTTCACCTTTTGATGATATGTGTTTCTGCGTTTTTCATATTTGTTTCTGTTTAATTCACGGCCTCATTAAGCATTGCCTCTTTGCAATTCGCGTTTCCGTTTTGGTTGTTTGAAAGTTTAATTTGGATTATTGTTATTTGTTGGGCATTCCTACGAAGTTCTTTCGTTGATCTTAACTGTGCAATTACAGTGGTTAATTTGTCTTTAATATGTTCGTTTACTCGGATGAGAAACCATCTTAAATTGGGGGATGTGGGCCCAGACGATATTTCAGAAGATACTGTAAAGGCCGTCGCTGAAACTCTGAGAAGCTCTCCAACTATCAAAGTTTCTGAAGATGGTTAGGATTTTCGCGTATAAATGCTGTAATTTGTCATTTAACATAATTGCTTATATTGATGATATTGAATCCTCGAATTCATGAAAATGGCAAAAATGCTGATGAGAATATCAACAGTGGTCCATTGCTCGGATTAGCTCCTGCTATGTAATTAGCTGTTGTATCTGATTCCAATTTACGGGTTGTTATGGACTTTTTAGTTTATCATTATATAGATTTTGGTATTGTGAATGGTTCAGGGAAGAAGATTGGTAGAACTACTGAACTCTCAAAACCCGAGGAGTTAATAGAACAATTGGATGTTAGAACCATAGCTGCATCGCCATTTGAATACAACGTCAAGCTTGAAGATGTGGAAGCTTTCTTTGGTCAAGTTGCAAAGGTAGATTTTTTATTCATCACTGATGTTAATTTCTATATTGTATTCGTGGTGATTTGTTGGTATCATATTACATGTTATGTTGTTGTTTCATCATTAGCTTCAGAATGTCATTGGTTTTAGCTAGCTTATCGGTGTAATCACTTTTGAATCATTTTGTAGTAGCTTTGTCTTCTGAATAATTGTGAACAATTGTGAAAATTTTGTAGTAGCTTCGTCTTCTGAACAATTGTGAAAATTTTAGATTATGAAATGTGAAATTGTGGTTCCTCCTTATTTCTTTGATTTCAGACTTTAAGCTGGTTTTTTTTTAATCTTGTTGTGCATAATACACTAGATACTGAAATCTTAATCTGTAAGTCTAAATTGGGTTTTTTACCTCGACATTTTGCAGGATATGTATATTTATCACTGCTATTGTTAAATATTAGAACTTCCCACTGAATTTCAGGTTAACAGTGTGAGGCTGCCCCGTCATGTTGCAGATAAACGGGTTTTCTGTGGAACTGCATTGGTTGAGTTTTCTAGCGAAGAAGATGCAGAAAAAGCTTTGAAGGAAAGTTTGCTTTATGCCGGTGCCAAGTTAGAATTGAAACCAAAGTAAGGACATTGTTGGAATACAATAAGTAACTTTTCATTCTGACATTTTTTGAAAGCCCATTGCCGGTAAAATAGTAATATCCTAAATTATTCATTATCCCGTTCCCTATTATGTTTGTAAAGACTATTTCTATTTCAGGAAGGATTTTGACGAGGAGAGAGCAAAAGAGGCTGAGAAGTTTGAAAGTTCACGCTCAACCTCAAATTCAAATCATAAGAATAATACTTCCTCGGAACCATAGTAAGTATAAATTAGACTTGTATAGCTGGTATTGTTAGCCTATGACTTTTCTTCTGTTTCACACATCTTAATCGTACTCATGATGATTACAGTTACCCGAAAGGATTGATTGTTGCCTTTACATTGAAAAGTGTGTCATCTGGAACTTCTGATGAAGAAAATGGATCTCATAATGTAGCCACTGATATTACTGAATGCAAGGTAGATGAGGGATTAGACTCTTCTAAGAATGACTCTGAGAAAACTGAGCAAACAGCTGAAGCAAATGTGAGTAAGGATGGCGAAATCTCTAAGAGTTCTGAGAAAAATGAAGAAGTTGATAAGAATAACGATTCAGGCAATGAAGAAAAACCTGAATTGGGAGAGCAGTCTAATGAACATGAAGAGGCTGGGGAAAAACCTACAGCTGGTGCATCCATAAACAACAAGAATGTTGTTTCTCGTGAGGATTTGAAGGTTATCTTTCAGAAGTTTGGATCCGTCAAGGTATCTCTAAGGTCTTCCTTCTAGAATTGCTGTGCCTATTAGAAATTTTCACAACGTTTAATTGAAATTTGCTCTCTACTTTATCTACTAGTTTATCTTCCCTTCCCTGTTTGTGCTTTTTATTGGGCATGGGGGGACCTAAGTCTGCTTACATCATTCTTATTCTTTTTCATTTGTGCTACCGGTAAATTCAAACCTTAGTATGCAGGTTTAGAACTGTAAAAGGGATCTTGTTCCATGAATGGATGTTTTCTCTTTTCTTCTATTTTTCTTTGTAATAACAACTTTACCTATTTTTCTTGACTGGACATCCAAAGACCGTTTGGACTCTGATTTTCCTTTGGATGATGGCATCAATTTTCTATTTTCAGTTCTTTTATGCTGCTACTTAAATAACTAAGAATAAGTTCCTTTGGATTTTATTAAAGGCTATCCATTCTGACGCCTCTTATGTTTTCCATTTTCCCCCTCTCTTCGTTTGTTGGGTTTGTGAAGTACATTGATTTTAAGATTGGAGAAGAGTCGGGTTATATCAGGTTTGATGATCCTGAAGCTGCCCAGAAAGCTCGTGCGGCTGCCGTACTTGCTGAACAAGGGGGACTGGTAGTGAAAAATTGTATAGCCGCTTTAGAACCAGTGTCAGGTACCATATGAATTTCACTGTTCTTTGAACAATGAATAAAGTATTAGCTACAGTTGATGTCAATGCTTTCTTTCTATCTCGTTAATCTTGAACGTGTTTTTTTAATGAAGTAAACATACTGCACAGGGTAGAATTTATCTCTGTTCTCTCGGTTAATAAACTTGGATCCGACCCAAAGTTTATCAACTCAACTCCGTTTTTACTTTGGATGTGTTCTGTTTTTATTGTCTCATAATCTGCCGAGAATCAACAGTTTAGTTCTTTTGCTTTTAAATTATTAAACATGAAAACAACAATGCGGATAAAATAATTTCAATCGTTCAGTGTGGTTATGGTCATTTTCTGGTTTCTTTCCCATATTCGTTCGAGCATTTCTAATGTGATAAAACTGAATTTGGAGGCATGGAGGCTTGTAATGTTGTAATTTCCATTATCTTCAATGGGACTTTTGGGTTAGTAAATTTGTTCCGTATTTCTTGTGTGAATGGTATCCATCTCAATATCGGATATACTTCTTTGATCTCAGGTGAGGCTGAGAAGGAGTATTGGAGGCTACTCCGCAGCAGCCAAGAAAAGCGTTACCGTGATTTCAAGGGCGGCAACCGTGGAAGGTTTGCATTATAAATGAAGAATAGTTCTCTGAATTGTTGTTGAAATTCCTATTGAATATTCATTGTTCACTTGGGTTATTGCATAATATTGAATATTCATTGTTTGTTCTGCTTCCTATTTCTATAGGGGTGGTAAATTCCATAGAGGTGGAAAGCATGCGCGGTCAAGAGGGCATGACAACGATCGAGGTCGCCCTAATAAGGCTCAAAGGGTGTGAGCTGCCTGAAGGCATGACAATGATCGAGATCACCTGAATAAACTCGGAGAATTCTGTGTCCTATGCAGTTGTGCTGCAATTTTGCTGGATGCGTTAAAAGAGATTTTTGGAGAGGAAGCACCCTGCCGTTTGGTTCTACTGGTCTTTTACTTATCAGCCTCAAGTTTAGTTTAGTTTAGTTTATCTATTTTTACGTTTTAGAATATTTTTTCCTATATTATTTGAACCTAAAAAGTTAACCAAGCCTCTTCAATCCTTCTTGTTCTTTCCCCACTTCACAAGTTTCTCAAAATAATGGAAATCTTTGCGTGTGAAAAACGAAATAGAGTCAATAGGGACTGCCGAATTGGAGTGGTAGTGTGTAGTGTGATAGCAGTGAAAGAACATAATTGAGTTGGGATGGTTAATTATTTATAAATGTATTTTAAATTCTACAGATTTATTTATAAAAATTTCTAAATTTTGATCTGAGATGTATTATTTGTATTTGAATTGCTGCCGTGTTCAAAGTGAACCATATTCAAAGGTGTATGTGAATCTTCCTTTTCAAATTTGGAAGACATTTTTCGGCAAAAGCCTGTCAATTGAAAAAGAAAAAAGTTAAATAAAGGAGTGCAAGGGAAAGAAAATCATAATTAATTATAATGGTCGGATTGTAGTTTTAATTTTTGGTCAAGGTCTTTTGAAAATTATTCTTTCAGCTTCGGTTAGTTATATATATATATATATATATATTTTTTTTTTTTAAAATGCTATCAAATTCGAAGTAGAATTTTGAAAATTAAAGATGATAATAATTTTTTAAAACTGGCCTCTTCTTTTGAAAATTGGCTAGTAATTTAAATGTCGCGAGACATAAAAATTTGATGAGAAATCAATTATAATTTTTAAAAAGTGAAAAACAGAAAATTAAATTATGAAATGAGGCCGTTTATACTTGTAATAAATTTAAAAAACGGCCTCTAGTCCATTAAAAAAAGAAGGGGGCGGAATGTCATATTTTTCAAACTTTTAATTTGGACCTAATGGAACCTGTCTAAAAAAACAAAGGGACTCCCTTTTTCTATGCTTTTAGTAAAACATAGAGATTAATTTGGACATTTGAAAGTATATGGATTTAATTTGGACATTTGTAAGTATATAAACTAAAATATATGTGTCCGAAAATAAAGAATAAAGATAGCATTTTACCTTAATTTTATGTAATAACAAATTTCCTTGAACTAAAAAAAATCTACTTTCAATTATGGTTTTATTGCAATGAAATTTCTTTAAAAAAGAAGAAATATATATATATATATATATATATATTTTGCAATAAAATCTATGATATAGAATTATTCTATAGTTTTTTTTAATTAAGGTTACATTATGAATTTTGTCTCAAAATTTTTTGTTATTTCTTTTATTTTTTATACTCATTTAAAAATTTTATTATATCTATAGACTTTTGATTATAATTTTTAGGTAGCACTTGTTGATATTATTAAAGGAAATAATATCTATTAGGCATAGGATTAATTTGACATAATTTTGTAAACAAATATCAGAAAGAAGTGGGTAACCAAATAAAAAAGTGTGAATTTTAAGCTATAAATATTTCTTAATTTCAAGAAACATTATACGTTAGCAATATCATTTTAATTTTTCTAACTTCCCACTTAGATTTTTCTGTCTTTTTTTTTTAATTCAACGATACGAGATGATGAAGATTCCTATTTTTTGTAAAGTATATATACTTTCAAACTATGGACTTTTGGATCATACTGTAATTAATACTTATACCTTCTTTTCACGTCATCATTTAGTTTTTTTTTTTTTGAAAATATGTCATCATTTAGTTAATATTACTAGTAACACATAATTATAAAAAAATAATCGTAATTTTATAATTAATTTTTTGGAAATTGGGACAAAATTAGAGAAGAGATATATTTGTAATTTGAAAAATGAAAAAGAAATAATAATTGAAAATTGAAATGCCCGTTGAACTTGAACTTTTCGAAAAGAACCGGTTGAATTTAAGGTACAAAAATGGCCGCTAGTCTCATAGGCGTTAAATCGACTACGGTCCAGCATTTCAAAAACTTGATTGACTTTAACCATAGGGTTTGAATCTCTCAGTCCGCCCTCTTCGTATTTGAATATGGCTTCACTCTGATCTCGCTCATCTTTTCCCCCCCTCTCTCTCTCGCTCGCTCGCTTGATTCTTCTCTCTTGGATCTGCCTGCGTTCGAGGTATTGATTGATTGCAATGTCCAGGTTTTTAACATCTTCGTCTGCTCATCTGCATTTCGCTTTTTCGCCAGTGAAGTAGGCGAAGTTGTTTTTATAAGCGTTCTATTTCTACTGAATTTGTAAGTTCGATCTGTTTAATCAGGCCTTCTTCCAATCGACGCCATGCGTTTTTCTTTCTTTCGTTTCGTTTGATTCAATGGTGATTCTGATTATAGTTGGTATTTCATCTATAAATTCGTTTGAAAGTGGATTTCTGGAGTACGTTATTAGTTTAATTTTGAGTTTAGCTCCAATTCGTGTGTGTCGGAGCTTTAACGATTTGATTGCTTCCGATTTTGATTTTCTAAGAGTAACTTCTTTCGAGTTAGGTTGATTATTTACCTTGCCGGAAATGCGTTCTTGAAACCTAGAAGCGAGGGCCTCTGGTTGTTCTTTGCTCATCTTTAAAATTTGAACTCCAGAGATCTTCGATTGTAATGGTTCGAGACGACGGATTCCGAATATAATGATTTTTTTCTATCTTTTGTTTGATCTTTCAGTAGCGTTTTGTTGACTTCAGTTACTCCGCCTCAGGAATTGAGTCTGATGATTTCCATCGATATATGTTTCGTTTCTGCAGTTCATCTGATTGTCGAATGAGAAGTAACTTCTGCCTCTTCTTAGGAAGAGTAGAATGATTTGGAGGAAATATTCGGTAGAGAGTTGCAGTAGAGTTGGATTTGGGCTATGCAGCTTTACTTGCCAGTCGAGGAACTATGGAAGGTGATCCAGCGCTTTGTACTCCTTTAGATGTGCCTGGTGACAGTGGTCAGAATATTCGAGCTCTGCATAGGTAATTTCTATTGAAAAATCATCTACCTTCTTCTAGTTGGATCTCATGTTCATCTACTTATCAATTCTCCTTGTATTTAATTTTGCTTTGACTGAGAGTATCAAAGCCATATTACTTATCCAAATTTGTACATATGATCGAACAACTTCTAGCCGGAGGACAAGTGGCCCTACAAGGCGTTCCACAAAAGGCCAATGGACAGCTGAAGAGGTAACCTACTATTTTATTGAGATGCAGAAGAACATATAATCATTTTGGTCCTTTAAAACTTTTTTCCTACAAACAAAATTTCTTCAATCAATTTAGGTTTGCTTTATATATTTATCATTCCTTCCATCTCTATGAAGAGCTTAACCTTCTTCACTTAGTACACCATAATTAGTTATTCACACTGAAGTGGAAGTGTATGTTATTGCTTTTCATTGTTCAAATTTGAAGTATCAATCTCAATTCCATTTCTTCCTTATATCTTAGTCTGTATGATGGACGTCTTATTTGATTAGGATGAAATCTTGCGGAAAGCAGTCCAAAGTTTCAAAGGCAAGAACTGGAAGAAAATAGGTAATGATGAAAATATACATTTTTTCTCTTTACAATTATTGCTGCCAACACCTGGAACACTTCTCTTCCTTCGTAATCATTCGTACATTTGGGACTTTCACATTGGTAATATTTGTTAACCAATTCAATATGTTGGCTAACCAACCTGTTTAGGTACTTCAGCTAATTGCCTCTTTACCTAATATGAACAGAGAACAACTGTGGGTTCATGATATTGCAAAACTAGGAATTAGGGAGCTATAAATTTAAAGATAATATTTGACATATTGTTTTAGTCTTAGATAGAATAGATAGAATGGATTACTAGTTCATATTATTAAATTTTACTTTATGATATTGTGCATGGAGCTTGGAGGGATATGAAGAGCAAAGGAGACAAAAAATTCATGCGTCTTGTCTGTTACATGCAATCATTAGGTTTTTGGTTCGATTCTCATGAGTAGCCAAATACTACATGCAATTGTTAGGAACTTAGGATATTTTAATCTTGATGATCAATATTCATCAAAACCATACTTGCTTATGATTGTTTGCATTGACGCTTGCTTTCTTTTCCAATCAAGGGCTATTTAATGATCTTCACATTGTTTCACTTTTATGATGTCCTATAAGCCAGTTGCCTAATCTCAAATTTGGTTGTATGTAGCGGAATGCTTCAAGGATCGGACAGATGTACAATGTCTACATAGGTGGCAGAAGGTTTTGAATCCAGAACTTGTTAAAGGTCCCTGGTCCAAAGAGGTTGTCTGTCAAAGACAGTAATTCTCTCTTGTATTAATTATCTCTTTATATACATGTTTTCACTTGATTACCCACTTTTCTTTTATGACCTGATGAGTTATTTTGGAAACCGTATATAGGAAGATGAAATAATTGTTGAATCGGTGAAGAAGTATGGACCTAAGAAGTGGTCCACCATAGCACAACACTTACCTGGACGTATCGGTAAGCAATGTAGGGAAAGGTATGATCAGAAATTCTCTGATGTGACACCTTTAATATTTTCACTTCCTGAAGTTAACTGTGGACTATTGATGTCAATACATATTTATTGAGTTGTGCTGTCCATGTTTCCGCCGACTTTGTCATGCATGGTCCTTCTGGTTCTTTTTCTGTAAAATTTTTTTACATAAACTTTAACTTTTTATTAAATCAGGTGGCACAATCATCTAAATCCTGCCATAAACAAGGAGGCATGGACACAGGAAGAGGAGTTGGCGCTTATTCGTGCTCATCAAATATATGGAAACAGATGGGCAGAGCTAACAAAGTTCTTGCCTGGCAGGTAAGTTCAAATTCTGTGCAACATAGATGCTCGGATTTTCAGTATTTATCTTTTATAAAGAGCATTTCTGTGTTATGAAGTATTGTTCTTTTACTCGCACATTACTTGTAATTCCTTATGAGGTTCTTCATGTTAATTGATGTATGACTTGCTTGAGTGCACTCTCCTTTTCAGAGCTTCATTGTTTTGAATTTATCTTCTACACTGCTGAGATACCCATCAGAATGATGTATATTTGATTGTCAACAGGACAGACAATGCTATAAAGAACCACTGGAACAGTTCTGTGAAGAAGAAATTGGATTCTTACTTGGCATCGGGTTTACTTGAACAGTATCAACCCCTGCATCATGCAGTGCAATCCAGCCTACCTATGCTTTCATCTTCAAGGCTGCAGAGCAGTATAGATGATAGCAGTCTTAAAGGGACAGAAACAGAGGACATATCTGAAGTCAGTCAAAATTCAGCTATGGTTGCTTGCTCCAATGCGGTTACACGCACAAAAGAGGAATGCCAATTTGCTGAAGATGCTTTTCTAAAAGAGGAACCAATCTCAACACCACGTTGCCCGGAGCAATATCATACTTCTTTGGATGACGTCACTTTTTTGATTCCCGAAATGCTCTGTGAATTGGGTTGCTATGTGAAACCCCCTGACCAAAATTTCTCACAGGATTGCAAAACTTCTGCAACTGGGGATAACCAGTATAATTTGTACGAAATACCAAATATTTCTTCACTAGAATTAGGTCATCAGGAGTTGTCACAGTTTCAAGCAATTGGATCCCAGGAAGTAGAGAATGTTTCACATCAAGCTTCTGTTGGATTTAGTGCCTCTGCTGTCGAAAATATGGCTAGGGCTTCAGATAAAGCTGAACATATGTTGATATCTGATTATGAATGTTGCAGGGTCCTATTTTCAGATGCTATAAACAATGAATCTTTTCCTTCTGAAAATACAAGGGATGGCACAGATATGGTTGACGTGAGTGGATATGCACGTCCTTTGCACTGTCAATCGTCAAACATTGAAATATCTGAAACAGATAGAAACTTATCGTTGCAATTGTATCATCATTCAAGATCCGGTGTTCTGGATAACTCATGTTCTCAACCTTTTCTAGCTCCTTTATTGGTTTCTGCTAATGATGATACTTATGTATATACCAGTGAAGCCAGTCATATATTTGAAACTCTCGAACAAGAGCTTGTAGCTAATGGACGTGATGGCTTTATCTACTCCAATGAATCTGCTGGCACTCCTCCCAAGGATGGTTTGAAGAGTACAGAAGTCCAAAAGCAGAACTCAAAGGATCCATCAAATCTGGTTCCTGTAAATACTTTTTGTGAAAGAGAGAATACACATTCAGATCAACAGGACCTTGGGGCTCTTTGTTATGAGCCTCCTCGATTTCCAAGCTTGGATGTTCCATTCCTTAGCTGTGATCTTGCACCATCCGCCAGTGAAATGCAGCAAGAATACAGTCCCCTGGGTATCCGTCAACTTATGATGTCGTCTATGAACTGTCTTACACCATATAGGTTATGGAATTCGCCTTCCCGTGATGATAGTCCAGATGCTGTGTTGAAAAGTGCCGCTAAAACTTTCACTAATACTCCATCAATCTTGAAGAAACGCCATAGAGAGTTCTTTTCTCCTTTGTCGGAGAAACGAAGTGACAAAAAGCAAGAGATTGATGTTGGCATTAGTAGAACATCTCAGAGTAATCCATCGCACCAGACAATCAACTCTAGAAACACTGAAGACAAAGAAAATATTAATCCTTCAGGGGAAGTGAGGCAAGAGAAGCCAAGCAATGGGCTTCCGGAGAAAATTTCAGATAGCTGCAGTTTCCAGGAGAACATAAAGCAAGAAGTGGACAATGCTGTGACAACTGAGGGTCTCGAATCTGTTGGCCAAATAGTGAGTTACTTTCTATGTCTTCTTCTCAAATTATTTTCGATTGACTCGTAAAATGATCATGAGACTCGTCCTTACTCAGGTGCAACAGCCTTCACGTGTCCTTGCTGAATGCTACCTGAACGACTCGCTCTTATATTCGACCAACCATAATGGTGTTAAAGGAGATGAAGATAGGAATTCAAGTGCAGGAATTACTGAAATTCAGTGTAGAGCCTCAACAACTTCACAAGATCAAGACTTTCCTTCAAAGTTATCATCTGACAATCAATTTGCAGTTGCAAAATGTCCTGTTGCCAGTGGAACGAGTCACGAAAGCCATCCTCCAACAGCTACGTGCCTAAACTCCGAGTACACGACAGCGCCCCCTGAGGTTATGGGTGATAATGCCACAAAGGAGTCCTCCATTGAAACTGTAACCATGTAAGATTTACTTCTCCAACTCCTCAGTTTACCTTTTAATAGTAATTTCTGGAAGGAATCCATACACAATCCCAGTTACTCCCGCAAAATTTTCTTACGACTCTCTTACCCTACTCTGATTTCCATAGCATGTTAAATTCCTACGCCATCAACATTTGCCCATCTTTTTAAGCTAAATTACAATTCTAATCCATGAACTTAAAAAGTTTAATAGGTCTTTAAATATGAAAAAGTGTCAAATAATTCCCTAAATTTTTAATTTTGTATCAAATAGGTTCCTGAATTTTAAGTGTCCAGGTTTTGAAAAATGTCGTGACACTTTTAAAATTTAAACATCTATTAATATAACATTGAAAGCTTATGGACTTATTAGACACAAGGACCCATAAACACAATATTGAAAGGTTTAGGGATTAAACTTATAATTTAGTCATCTCTTTATTTATAGCTTTTAAATTGGGTAATAGCTTAATACTCTTTTCCTCAAGTATTTGGAACGGCCTCTTAGTTGATGGTGTTTGTTTCTAGATTTGGTGGAACTCCGTTCAAGAGAAGCATCGAATCGCCATCGGCATGGAAGTCTCCTTGGTTCATCAACTCTTTTCTATTTGGTCCAAGAATGGACACCGACTTACCAATGGAGGTATTATTATAACTTCTAGTTTCTCTTTTTATTTTTTGTTTGTTGGTTCATTTTGATTTTTGGACTTCTAATAATTTTCGTTCACGCACTTCAGAACGTTTGTTTCAACGTCTGTATTTCTAGGAAAGGAATATTTTAGTCCTCTTTTTTTCATTTTTATTTCATGACACCATTAATTTATTGTGTGAAATTTTAGCAATGGAAACTAAAATGTTCACTTTTTTAAAAATGAACAAAATAATCATTTAGAGAGTACAAATATTTGAAATAAACAAAACAAACATTTTGAGAGTACAAATGTAAGAATCAAGGGTGATAGTTTTTAAACCTATTTTGTTTTTTCTTCTGCTCTAATGGTCTGAGCGTATGTTCAGGATGTTGGATACTTTATGAGCCCAGCGGATCGGAGCTACGATGCAATTGGGCTGATGAAACAGGTGGGTGAGCACACTGCCGCCGCGTGTGCAAACGCTCAGGAGGTTCTGGGAAACGAAACGCCACAATCCCTTTTGAAGGGAAGACGAGGGAAATTTGAGAATCAGTACAACGAGAAGAAGAAGAATCACGTAACCAACTCCCAGCAAAGGGTCCGTTCCACTTCGGCTCCGGATATTTTGGTACGTTTTTTCTCTCATCTCTTTCTCACTTTAGTTTTCATGGAGGAAATCACAAAAATAACAGAATCAAATATGATATATCACATTTATGGGCGCCTTTTAAGTTTACAGAAATAATCGAAACTTTTAAAATGTAGAAACTAGCCCTAACATTTGGATATCATATATGTAAAACCAAGAAAGATGTTGCTTTTAAAAAAATATGGTAACATAATGTTTAAAAATAGAACAATGCTCTAATATTAATCCAGTAGGTATTGATCACTATTAAAAAGTTGATAACAATTCATTGTTTTTAAAAAAATATATAAAATATCTTTCTTCTGTATCGTTATATATATATTTCTCTCTTGGTTATCAAAAACATAATACCTAAATACTATTTTTAAGTCTTATCCTAAAAATATATTGTTTTGTTATGTGATTAAAAGAAAGTAAGAAAAAAATTCTTTCCTTTCGTATAGTATTTGCCAAATTGGTGTAGGACTGATTTCGTATTTAAACTTAAAAACACGTATATATGACTGTTTGACGACCATATTATTGGATTTTATTTAAGCACGGAAAAAAATTTTATATGTAATATGTAGAAAAATACAGAATTTTGTAATTTTTCATTTTAATTATATTAACTATATATTTTTTACATATTAGTAAAATTTATGTCCACATGATAATTTTATTATTTTTTTTGTTTTAAAAAATTAAATTTATTTATTAAAAATGTATTTTAAATTTTAAAGTAAATATTTTTCTTTATTTTATACTCTCTAAAAGACATTTTTTATGTAAAAAAAAACATTTTTGAAATTATAGCCAAATTTAGAAACAAAAATTTTGAACAAATAAATTTAAACTTCTACTTTTAGGTTTTAGATTGTGCTTATGCTTAGGCTTTTAAATTTTTTTAGAAAATACTAGTTAACAAACATAATTTAATTTTCTCTCCTTTGTCCCATGGTGACATTTTTTGAATAACAAATTCTTTTAAATTTTCAAATCTAAAAATAATTTCACAATAAAAATTAAAAATTACCTCGGTAAAATTAAAATAAAAACAATACATATATATATATATATATATATATATATATATATATATATATATAGATTTTTCATAACAAACTGCCAAACAGCCAATTTGTATCTATCTTCGGTCGCCAAGTTTTCTTAGTTTTCTTAATTAAGAGGAAAACATTTATTAAAAATTTTATATACTTTCGAATTTTTGCAGACGGAGCGACGTACTCTTGACTTTAGTGAATGTGGGACACCTGGCAAGGGAACTGAAAACCGAAAATCCTCTACTGCATTAAGTTTCTCAAGCCCCTCCTCTTACTTATTGAAAGGATGCAGATAGAAATTTCAAAATGTCAAAAATAGCATTCGGCTATCGTGATCCCTAGTTAATTTAATTGTTTTATAAAATGTATGTTTATGATTTGTTCAAATCTCTTAAATTATTTCCTTTTTGGGAAAAGTAAAAACATATATGGGGAGAAGGGGATTACGTTTGGCCTTTCAAATGTATTCTTTATTCAATAGATAAAAGATGTGTATGTGTTCACCATTCAGAAATGTAACTCACTCACTTTACCATTTTAATGTGAATGGATCCTTCTTTTCACGTATTTAAGTCAGTTAAAAGCTTTAAAAATGTTATTTTTCAAAGTTAAGGTGGTTTTAAACTAGAAGACTTCAAAAGAAAATTATACTCAGTGAATGGTTCATGTTAATCAAAATTGAATCACAATTGTGTTTTTGAAAAGAAAAAGGAAAATGAAAATAAATACTATAAATGTTTAGATGACGAGATCTATTCTCCATTTTTTTTCCTAAGAGGAGCAATCATCATATACATACCCTAAAACAATTGAAAACTAAGAAAGTATCTTCTTACTTGGTGATAAATATGCATTCTGCTAACTACTCAACATGTTGGAAGTCATAGAAATATTCTTACTCATAAACCTGGTTTTACCTACTTTTAAGTTGAGTCTCTTCCTTACTATTCTTAAATTAAAAAAAAAAAAAACAATCTTTTCCTTACATTTCTTCGACATTTGCTCGTGTCCATGCTAATTTGCGTACACCAAGAAAATTAATTTCTAGATAAGTGGTAATCATGAGGTTTGTATACATTCTCTCTAAATCATTTTGATTTACCTTGCTCCTTTGAACCAATAAACTATCATGAATCCATGATAGTTGTTGCTATGGTAAGATTAGTTAAAGAAGAATATTTTAACACATCTTGTCCGAAACTACTTCAGTTTTTTATTTTATTTTTTTGTTGGGAAGAGACTTGACTCACCGGAGATATTATCTCTCTCCTAATTGATGTTGGACCAGAATTAACATTTCATCGTTTAATATATTTCAATGATTATATATGTTTATGTTTTAGAAATGATTGTAGAGCTGGACTTTATTCTCTTACCTTGTATGGCGACTATTGCGATAATTTCTCCAATAACTCTGTTGATTTCAGCTTCTTAATTTTCAGCTTCTGTTTTACCTTCCTTATTGGTACTCATATCATATGAAGCTAGTACCATCCTCCATAAATAGCAGTCACTGGATAGCTATCTGAACAAGTTACGAAGATTAATTATTATTATTAAAGTTCTTATTTTCTCCTGGTGATACTGTGAGCATGTAGTGTATTATATTCTCGAAAGGAGAGCTCCTTCTGTTTTATTATTATTATTATTATTATTTTTTACTCTGAACTATTTGGAAGAAAGAGTTGTTCTTGATCCTACAAACGACTTATACTTTATTACTGCAAGTTCAAGCAATGGAAAAAAACATGAGGAGAATTTATTTAAAGATTTCCATCAAAGGAAGTCAGTTAACTTTTTGTTTGTTAGTTTTTTACTCACAAAAAAGTTCTTCAAATAACTTCTGTTTTCTTTTTACCTTTTCTTATTTCACGATATTACAAAATCCAATCTTATTAGTACTTTACTTTTTTCACTAACAGGTTGTATTGCAAATCCAATCCATTTAGATTTTATTTATTATTTTTCTGCTTTAAATACTATCTAAATTACGGATATATATGACATAGTACAGAATATAAAAAAAGAAAAGGATTCAAAATGTCGAAATAAAGAGTGAAATTATAAACTTAGGAAGTGTGAGGAATGTTAATAAAACTTTATACAAATTCTTTCCTTTTTACTATGATATCTTGTAATTTTTTTCTAATTAAATAGCAAAAAGATAAAATAATTTAGTTTAATATTTGAGATTTAGCGACAAAAAAAAAAAAAAACTCAAATAATTTTAGAAAAAAAAAACGAAAAAAAGACTAAGTTGAAGTTCAATACCGGTCTATTCCTCATCGACAACCATTCCGGAGTAGAACTTTGAGTTCGTTTTCCTTTTAGCTGATGCTGCATAATAATAATATTTGTTAGGAAATCAAAAACACCGCTAAAATTGAGGTCAATTGGATGTAGAGAATGTGATCTGTCAAAGACTCATATGCAAGAGTCACTTACCAGTTAAAATAAGAATCTATCAGCAAGACTGTGAATAATGAATTGGTTGAGAGAATTTCGCATAACATCACCAAAGAGCAGTAATATGATTTCGACAGAAAATTTTAATGAGCAATAGAGGTTATTAATTCGAGAAAATTTGCCTCTCAAAAACAACTCTCTTCGATATCCGCATATTTGGCATACTCTTGAAAATTCATGCTACCAACACGGATAAATTTTTATCAGCAATTCAGTTGCACAAAAGACGATTATAGAAATATCGACGTTTTGCCTGCTTTTATAGATTCGGATCATCGAAAAACTAGTAAAGATTTGAAGATCGAATATCAAGAGCATCAACCTAAAATATACGGTCAAATACTTCTGATCTTCCTGTCGTTTAATTGCTGTTTCCAGGAGGGGCGAACTTTAGGAACGGCTTGAACCGAGATGAAGAGACCAGAAGAACATAGAAATAAATGCGATAATATGGATGATGCACACAAAATATTGGCAGAATAATAAAAAAGGAAAAGAAAAAAAAAAGATAGATGCGATTGTCTTCCATCAATTTTAAGCCTGGAGAAATCTACATTACTCTGATTTACCAAAATCCACTAATTCGAAGTTTAAAATGGTAAAGACAAATAAAAAATCGTCTGGAAAAAGAACAAAAACGCGAAGGATGCATCGCGTAAGAAGAGAAAAGAGAGAATCTAAACTCCTTTTTCCTGGAGCTTCTTCAATCAAGCAGAGTGAACATATTTCCGGAATCAGAGACAGTGAAATAATACTAATACATACCTGCATCGGAAGATCAACTCGCACAGAACACGTACAAAACAAACGGAGTTTGAAACTGCAAAATTACCGGAAATCTGCAACGAGAGAAGTAGAGACGAGACCTGAGAATGCGTACTGAATAATCTCTCCATTCTCCCCATAGCCCAGACTGTTTGAAAACGGAAGTTCAACCTCGACTGAGAAGGACGAGCCTTTTATACCTTTTTTTTTTTCCTTTTTTAATTTTTATTTTTAAATGGGCTTTCACCGTTTAACCTTAGCGCGGATTTCAACATTTTCTAAAGCGCAAATATATCTCGTCGACGTCGGCCCCGACCTCTACTTTTAGCAATAATACGATCCCTAGATGCTTTAGGCTCACCATTGTTTAAAATAAAAAATATAACAAGTTATTTAAAAAAAAAAAACATTTATCAGCTCTTTACTTTTTCAGAAGCAGTAAATAGCCTTTATCTTTACCCTCTAAGAAAAAAATAAGTACTAACCCAAAGCCCATCAGTACTTATATAAATTATTTTTATCAAACCATCCAATAATTTCTACTAAGTTATCTTCGGATTAGCACCTAGATCAGTTATAAGGCTGAAAAATGCTGCCACCAAAAATGAGATTGTATAATTTCAATTCACTTCTGGCATAAATTTTTTTAAAAAGTTTAGTTGCACCATCAAAATACATCATCAAGGTCTAAAGTAGGTGTCTATTTAGTCTCTAAGTTTCAAAATGAACATTAGACATTTCCTTCTTCTCCGACAGACCTTGTCTACACCATCCGACAACTAAAAGTGTTCATTTTGAAACTTCAGGGACCAAATAGACATCTACTTCAAAGACCAAAAGCGTATTTTTCTCCAATATATATTATATTCAGCGAAAAGAAGGGAGAAAAATCAGTGGCAATAACTGGACAAATTCAGGTGAGATTGATGCAACTGGACATCATTTATAACAAATTGCACGCCAAAAAATTATTGGAGGAAGCTGGAATAATGTTGCTGTAGCCAATGTCTGGTAACTTTAAAACGTTGGTTGTATGAAAGAAAAATTACAAAATATATTTTAAACGGGTTATTAAAAAACATACAAATTTTCACACTTGCCTCCAACTAATAGCAACCACACTCAATAATTTACAGTCTACGGATAAGCTGTTGAAGCAAAAGTTTCCAAGAAACAAAAAGGTTACACAGAATGTAAAAAGAGAATAAGATAAACAGAAGTAACCGTTATTAAATATAAGACCTAAAAGGAACGGTTAAGTTTTCATCACTCTGCTCCCAAAAGAGTGCAGGAGAGGATGAGTAGTTCTATAAACTATTCACAAGCTATCAAGATCATGGGAACAGATGAAACCAAAGCTCGACAAAATTGGCACTCCCAACCGAGCCTCGAAATCAGTATCAAGTATTTCGATATGATATTAGTCGACTCTCAGCAAACACCCGTGCATCTTTGTCCCTGATGGATCTTCAGTGAACCGAAATTTACCCGTCGATAACTGAATTAATGGACATCTAACTACTTACTTGGGAGCTATGTGCCTGTTAGAGTTAGTATGGTTCATATGGGATGTTACGCCTTCGTAGCTATCAGATTCATCTTCTTCATCAGAGGATAAGAGAGAAGATCCCATCCAAGCCTTGAATCCTTCACTGACACGCCTTTCCACATCGGGAGTGATCTCCAAGGGATTTGCTACCAACATTTCCAGCCCGAGGTTTTGACCACTGAGGTCTCCCTCGTCAAGAATGGTAGCTGCTTTTCTCCTTAAAAAGAATGCAGTTCCTCCATAGAGAATAACTAGACCCCATGATGTGATCTCATAACACCAAAACAGGGGCACTGCGCAGCTCCCACCCAAGGTGAGAAGACTTGAACCAAGAAATAGTGCCAAAAGGCCAAAGATGATGGCAAAAACAACATTCAAGATGGTAAGACAGCGAACTCCACCTACAAATAGCAACAGAAAATAAATATACATATGAAAAATTGGGCATTTACAAAGCAATTATAAAGACAGTCATACAGAATTTCTTTTACATTATTATATTTATTATAACTTAATAGAACACAATATAGTTGCTTAGATGGCATGAGTGTGAAATTTGAAGGGTTGTTGTTTGCCTCTTTTCTCCGGTAAAAAGAAAATTTCATAATGATATACATCCAGTTTAAATGACAAAAAAGAATTAAGGGCACCAATCCTTTAGCAGGTGGGGGTGTGTTCAGTATGTGTATGTGACCGGGGAGAAATAGAGGAAACTGAAAACTGGAAACCATCAAACCTTCCACTTAACCATAACTAGAAGAAGACGGAATGTGAAAGCAGCCGACCAGGGGAGAGCATTATATATTTAGTTATTCCACTTAGCAGTGTGGAAAATCTTGTATTATTTCTAAAAATAACTTCATACAAATCGATAAATAGAACTTCTTTTTTCTTTTAGTAACTAAAAGTCGACTAAAAGCAGCTAAAGAAAATCCGAACTCAGAAAGCTTTTAAACTATCATACTTTCCTTCTTTTATAACATCCAAAATCAATGATGACAAACAGCACAAGAACTTAAAGCAGCCAACCACGAGAGAAGATAGGGCTTTACCTCTTCTGGATGCACAGTAGCTATTCTCAACTACTTTCAAGCAACCGTGTCTAGTTGGACCAGAATAAGCAACAATTATGCCTGCAATATACGTTAATTAATTAAGTAGATAGCAGATACTTCATACTAACCCCAAAACAACTTTCTTGATAATTGCACCCTTAAACAATGTTCAATTAACCAAACACATCATAAAAGAAATTGGTAGAATTCAAACAAAGCCTGAAGTCTGATTTTGCAAATCATGATTATAAATATGTGACCGGCATGCCGCTTAAGAGTTTGGAAGTTGGAGCATGTAAAAGAGAGTGTAACATTTTCGAAGATTTTTTTCTATGGTAGAGTGCAACACATACCAATGGGCAAACATGCAACCATAGAGGTAAAAATCTAAACTCCAACAAAGTTTCAAACCAAACATCAGAAGTGACTCAGAACAAAAGCAGCTTGATTGTAAAGAAAGAAGGAAACTTAGGAATCTTAAGGGGCGAGTAAGCTAAAAAAATAGAAATTGGCATGATTCCTCCTACAGATAAAGGATTGTCCTCTTGCGTAGAGATGACAACCCATCTTGTCTGTTATATCATTTGGCACCATCGAAAGAATACGTAAAAAATTAACTAGGAGAGAAAACTCTAAACAGCCAATACCAATAGATAAAGAAGAAGATATTCAGACTTTTATTTCTGGTACCATTGCTTCCTCTGCTATTAAAGTAATCGCATAACTCTCCTCTAACTGGTATTTGGTTTATCCTCGGCAGGTTTAAAGAAAAAACATAATACAAAAGACTCTTATATCTGAAAAATATATGATGGACCTCTTGAACGGAAGTTATGTAGGGTGCAGGCTTGGCATATAGCTGAAAACCATTGACGCAAATTTTCATCAACTAGCTTTGTTGTGTAGGGACAATTCTAATTGAAATAGCTAACCAGAAACCATGAAGATTTGTTGATGCATACATTTAACTGCAAATAGGGAATGGTCCACACATCGACAAATCACATATTGATGACTATGTATTTTCACAGACACATTTAAACCAACCTACCTCTACTACAAGTAACTTTCCAAGTCTCGATCTTAACCCACTGCAGAAATTAGTCAAATTCAACTCCCGAGCAACAAGTCAAAATCTTTCATAATCAAAAACAAGTCCCTACTTCTTAAACTCACTTAAAAGAAGTCAAAATCTTATTAATTGAGCCAAAACCAATGGACTCTCATAATCGCGGATCCAAAATCTCCTGCTAACGCCTAAAAGAGTATAATAAATGCCGCTTACCCGCAACAAGATAGACAACCGATGCAGCAAATGCGACTACTGAGGGGATGAACACGAGCATCCAATAATAGTCCACGATTTCTTGATTCGTGAGATAAAAAGCTCCAAGAACAAAATCAGATTCGCCTCCTTTTCCATTTACGGGGAGAGGCTGAAGCCTCCTGTCGTTGCAGAATGGTCTATTTGCGATGTCGTTGGGGAAGACTATGTTCAGACTAATAGTAGTGCATACAATAATTGCGAGCCCTATCAAAGCCACGAGAGCCATAACCAACGGTTTCTGAAGCTTGCCCCAAGCTTTTTCTTCTTCGCGGAGGTTCTCATACTCGTGCTTTGGCATGAACGCCTGGCGAAGTGCGTCTCCAATAATTGCCATCTGAGCCGAAGATTCCTCGTCACACAAAACCTAGCTCAAACCCGATCAGGACGACAGCTAACTGAATAGAAATCTTCGTTTAGAACTAATTCTTGGCATGTCACATATACAATGGATCCAGCCAGAATCGAATACCGAATTGCAACAACTAAGCAGAAGGCTATCCAGAAATACTAATAGATTATGGTTTCTTGTGAAGGGAAGTTGATAATTGATCTTGGTTTAGGACTTCATGCGACTATTGACGATCTCCGATGAACCCTAATTGAAATGGCGGTTGAACGGGGAATTGCTTGTTCCAGTGATTTGTGGGAGAAGTTGAAAATGGGTTTAGGGAGAGAGAGAGAGAAGAGAGGTAAACTGTTACCGTAGCTTTCAGGCTGAATCTACAATTCACATTTCTTCCCCACCAGAATCGCACGATCTTCGGGATTTGGCGGTTCTCTGTACAGTGATCGGCGCCTTCCGGCGACCGCAGGGTTAATATGTATTTTCTTTCTTTCTTTTTTTGGGTTTAAATCCTATTTTTTATCCAGAATTTCTGTATTTAATTCGTTGTAAATTTGAAAATTTTTAAGTATTTATTGTAATTTTTTTTTGAAAAAGATTTATTGTAAATTTTTATTGGTTTTTTAACATATATTAAAAATTTGACCTCTCTTTTATTAGATCTGATTAAAAAAATGTTTATCAAATATAACTGTTGATATCAACTAAATGAATAAATAAAATAACTTAGACTTACCAAATACCAACATTTGGTATTTGTTTGGTGATTTATAAAAATAATATTATCCCAAAAGCTTAGTTCTATTTGTGTTTATTAGATACTCACTTTTAATTTTGTATTCTTTTTTTCAATTTTGTATTTAATAGATTTTTACTTATTTTACGTTTTAAAAAATTAACATATAAACTCTTAAACTCGTAATCTTGTATCTAACCTATTTGAATAAGTCAAAAGTATTAGATATAACCCCATGAACACGTTTGACATTTCCATCGACATATCCATGTTTTCATGGGTTCAACATCGACATAATAGGTAAATCAACATTTGTATCCTAGTACAAGAAAATCGACAAAAGAAATATCAACAAAATACCACTAATACATACATAAAGATTAATTATTTTTAACTAATTTAGAAATAGGAAAATGTTTATTTATTCATTTAAATATTTTTTACGGTTTTTAAAATTTTCTAACTTTTAAAGAAATATCCTTTGATATCGACATTTTATCCATATTCCCACGAAATTGAGACCTCAACATTTTCATCGACATCGACATTTAAAACCTTAGATATAACATTGAAAATTTAATAATCTATTATAATTTTTTTAAAGTTCATAAATTTATTAAATACAAAATAAAAAAAATAATTAAGAAACATGTTGAACACATACACAAAATTTTGAACTGCACTTATAATTCAACCTAAAAATAATAAACTAAGGTACTCATACTACCGTAAGTTGGGTCAAAGTACTTTTTAGACCCAATCTAATTATTCAGGTTATAAATTTATCAAACTCAAATAATTATTATTAATAATAAACTTAATATAATCTAACCATGAAAATGTTAGTTTGGATCATTCAAATCACTCATTCAAAATATTGTATAGCAAAAAAAAAAAATTGTTAATATCTCAAATATTTATTTACATATTATCTAACATTGAATCAAATTTTATAAGTTAATATTTATTTATACGGAAGTTTCACAAAAACGATTAAAAGGTGTTAGAAACCCAATAATGCATAAAGAATTATGGAATGAAACAAACTTTTTAAAAAACTTTAATATATAATTTTCAGTTCAACTAATAGAATTTTCATTTATTTGCATTCTAACCAGTAGAGATGTTTATTATGCTAACACAATGAATAACTTTAAATCTCGACAATTAGATTAGGATTATGTATGAGCCAATTTAGCAGATCAAATGAATTATACTCTCGTAAACTAAATGATGAATTATCATATAAGGTTTTAAATATTGATATTCATATAAATGTTAATGTCTCAATTTTACGGATACATTGATGGAAATATTGATAAACGTCGATGTTTATAGATGGTGATTTTTTATATATATTTAATATTTTTCGATCTTTTTAAATAATATTTGAATGCTGATTTAGTTGATGTCGAATCTATGATACATGTATATGTCAATTGAAATATTGACATGTCAACAAATAATTAATATTATAGTTATTCTATGACATGTCTAGAAAAATATAGATTAAATTTAGTCAATGATAATGTATTAATTGTCAAAACAAGCATAGCGTGACATATACTAAAAAAAATTGACAATGTATTAATTGAAAAAAAAATATCGCTCAATCTCGCGATAAAGTTATAGGATTAAAAAGTTTCCTCTGGAAGATGCCGTGTTATTCCGACATCAGAGGGCTGGACATTTCGGAATATAATTAATTGCGTGGCCTCGTTGTTGTCATTTTAATTAAAAAGTAGGCTAAGCAACCCACTCACCAATACAATTTGAGTAAACCAGTGGAACTACTTTTCCATGCACTGGAGAGATGAGATATTTTCCTTTTCTAAATAAACATATCTGACATGGATATTATTTTCGTTCGAAATATCATTAAATGTGATTTTCACATATGTTGAAGGTAAAATGGGGGTGGGAAGTGTTGTGGGCATGCTTGTCTAGGGTGTGTTACTCATGGCCGCATGTCCAAACCATCCTCACCACTCGCTTTCCTTTCATGTCTTTAAAGCTTTCTAGTGTAATTTTCTTGTATCGGGTTTTTGGGGTTGTAGGCGGAATTTGGCCGAGCGGCTTTGGAACTAGGTGTGTATTAGTAAGATATGTAARCACGCCAAATTTCAAGCCAATCGGAGTTCACACGGGCCCTGTAGGCCACCGAGTGACTCCTCGCCACTTAGGACGTCTACACCTGCCACACCAAAAATGCCTTATAATGTACCTTAGGGGGGACCAAGTAGTCATCAAACCTCCCCCGACCAAGTGTTGTATACTTTCTTGCAATCAAAGCTTTCTTGCATCCAATATCTACAATGCTTGTTTTAAAGATGTTTTCAATTGTTTTTCTCTCTCACGTTTTCTAAAACCAATTTTCTCCTAAAACGTGAGCGGAGGCTAGACC